ATTTATTTTTTTTCTAATTATTTTTAGTAGTATATGTTTATGATACATAATACATTCATCCAGGGGAATTAGTATAAGAAAGTATTTTTTTAAAGTTACTTTAGGTTTAAGTATTTGACTTCATTTATACTTTAAAAATTCCTAAAAACCCACCTATCATTCATTTTTTTCATTCAAAAATGTAAGAACATTTCTCCAGCACCATTTGGTTAGCCTTATCCAAATTACAACATGTATTTGTTAGGCAGTATTATTTAGTGGAAAATATTTAGATTTTGGAGTCAGCCAGATTTTACTTCAGTGGCTTTGTTACCTTGGGCAAATTCTTAAACCTTCTCAAACTTTAGTTTTTTCATCCATTATGTCAAAGTGATATTATCTTGATAGGAATAGAGGTGAAGATTAAATGAAAAATTATCCGATGCCTAATAAATATTAACAAATTATGGCTATTGTGTAAACTGTTGTGGTTAAATATTCTAAAATTCAGACTACTTATTCAGATAGAGTTGCTTAAAATGGTAAGATAATAATACGTGAAGACCAGATTTATAATATAGCTGCTTAAAAGAAGGGTAAAAAAAGAACTACTAATTCCCTCTATAGAACTTATATAAGATACACTTTTTAGAATATTGACTTTGCTTCAACAAGGCAAATAAATGGGGATAGATACATTACAGATAGCATGTGCAAAGGTATGGGTATGAAAAAGCATCATTTCTAAAGAAGTCTAAGTCATTATTTTATGGTGCTGGAGATTGAACCTAGGGCTTTGCACATACTAAGCAAGTGCTCTAAAACCGAGCCATATTTCTGATCTAGTTTTATGGTCTTTTTAGATGGGTATAGGAAGTGAGGTAAGGAAGAGGCTGAGTCTGTATTATGAATGATTTTGTGTGTTTTATCAAAGAACTTGTATAAATAGAGGTATGGCATGAAGCCTTTTGGAGCATTTTGTGGAACTAGAATGAGCATTGATATTATGGTATGATCTGAATGTGTCTTTCCAAATTCATGTTTTGGCAATTTACTCTTTAATGTAACAGTCTTGAAAAAGGTGAGGCTTTTGAGAGGTGGTTAAGTCATGAAAGATGGATTAATATCCATATAAAAGGGCTTGGCAGAAGTGTTTCATCCCCTTTTGCCCTTCTGCCTCCTGGCATGTGAGAACACAACATTCCTCCCTTCTGGAGGGCACAGTATTTAGGGTACCATCTTGGAAACAGGCTGGGTCCTAACTTTCTAGGACCTCATTCTTGAACTTCCTAGCCTCTAGAACTATCAGCAATAAATTTTTATTTTTGTTATAGCAGCAAAATGGACTAAAACTGAAAAAACAAAACCTATGCATATATTATGAATTATGACTAACAATTAATGAGCCAAAATATTCACTTATGTAGCCAGGAAAAGGACATCAGAAGAAAGACTATCAAAAAAATTGACGAATGTATTAAAATAATGAAGATAGCTGGGGATGTGGCTCAGCGGCACCATGCCTGCCTGGCAAGTGCAAGGTCCTGATACCAAAAAACAAACAAACAAACAAAAAAACCAAGAAGTGAAGGTAAAGGGAAATTGGATAAATGGAAATCAAAGAAGCAACATAGAGGACTGAAAAAGCTTGTCAGGGACCGCGGATTTAGCTTAGTGGTTCTGGTGCCTGCCTCACAAGCACAAGTTCCAGATTTCGATCGCTGGTACCCAAAAAAAAAAAAAAAAAAAAGCTTGTCAGTTCTTTTCATAGTGCTGAAGTAAATGGACACAGACAAGATTAATCAAAGATAAAAGGCCCAGGGCCCAGGGATTTAGCTCAGTGGTTCCGTGCCTGCCTCGAAAGCGCAAGAACCCGAGTTCGATCCCCAGTACCCAAAAAAAAAGATAAAAGGGACAAAATATAATATTGAGATTGAATCCTAAATTACAGAGTTAGCTGTGATATAAAATATAGAGTCCAGGACTAGGAATGAGCTTCAGTGTTTAAATGCTTGCCTAATATGCACAAGGCCCTGGGTTTCAATCCCCAGCACTGCAAAAAACAAACAAATGATAAAATAACCAGTACCAGGAGTAAGTATGAACTATTTTATGACAATAAATTTGCAAACTTAGGCTAAATAAATTTCCCAGCAAAATATAGTTAATAAAATTAAATAAAATGAAAACCTAAATAGATGTATAGCTAGCTAAATCTGCAAACAAATAACAGTGATGATGACAAAAGGAAAAATCAGGCCTACTACATCCCACAATGGCTAAAATAAAGAAGATGCACAATATCAAGATTTGGCAAAGATGTGGAGCAATTGGAATGCTCATACATTTCAAGTGGGAGTGTCAGTTACAGAACTACTATAGAAAACTGTCAGTATCTACTAAAGGTAATCATAAGCCTGCTGTATGATCTTATAGCCACTGCAGCAGAAATGAGTGCCTATATCTATTAAAAGACATCCACAAAGACTTTTAAATTAATTTTACTTGTAATTGTTAAATGTTCATTGATAATAAAATCAATAAATAAATTGTGGCATTTCATATTAATAACATATCATTTAGAAAACAATCATAACTATGTAACAACGTGGAGACTTTCAGCAAAAGAGACCAGACCCAAGAGAATACTATATAATCCCATAAGAAATCAAGAATAGGCAAAATTAATATACCCAAAGAAAAGTCTAAATAGTGCTTACCTTTTAGGATAGAGTTTAAACTGAGAGGGCACACAGTATATACGTGTACAAAAATTCACTCATTTAAAATGTATATACTTCACCCAATAAAAATTAAAGATAAAAACTATAAAACATAATTTTAATGAGTACTTTAAAATGTATGCAGGATTTTTTTTTATATCAGGTATGGTAAGATACACAGATACGTAACCCACATGAAGTTTTTACACACAGTTTTGCACCAGGTGTGATGGCACAGCCAGGCATGGTGACACACTTCCAAAATCCCAGCACTTGGGAGCCTGAGTCAGTAGAACTGACATTGGAAGACAATCTGGGCTCCATAGTGAGTTCGAGCCCAGTCTGAACTACACAGCGAGACCCTGTCTCAAAAAACAAACAAATAATTGCTGGAGACAAAAGGCACAGTATGCCATGCAGAAGGCTCACATGGGGAGGCATCAGTTAGTAAGGAGGCAGGAGTGTATCAGCAGGATTCTTTATTGTGGTTTCTGTGGGAAGGAGCTGGTGAGGCAGGGTAAACAAGTTTAAGATTGGCTAGTTTAAAAAATTAAAACTCTAGGTTGTAAGGGCAGTTGTCTGGTACCTAACCCTGAGACGATTAAGATAGTGTAATATTGGCCCCAAGGGTAAAAGCCAGATAGGAGTTAGGGGAAGTGGATTGTAGATTTGGTGACACATGAAAGTGTGCTGGAGTTTGTCCTCTTTAAGAATTTTGAGATGGAGGGAGGGAGGGAGGGGAATGGGAAAGGGAGAGGGATTTAAAAAAGAAAGAGGAAGTGTTATGTACATGTACCTATTCCCCCAAATGAATGTAAACTTCACATACTACAAATGTACTAATAAAATAAAAATAAAATAACAAAAAGACCAAAAAAAATTGTCTAACCCTGAGTAGGGCAGTCCTCCTATCATCAGTAAGGTCCTATATGTTGAAATGTCAGAATGGAAATATTTGATTAGTACAGTAGAGAAAATAATAAAACTTTATTGGAAGTCTTAAAAGAAGATGATAT